CGGCGGGGGCGGGGGGGGGCATGACTGCTGTGCCTTCCCTTTCCTCCAGATGGCGCTGGCTCGCGTAGCCCCTGCCCTCTTCTGACGGGGAGGGGTGACGCTCAGCAACACTTGTCAGGAAAGCCGCATTGTGGAACGTGATTTATATTTGGGGTATTGTTATCACCCGTCTGGAAATAACCTCAGGTTCTTCTAATTCAATTAGTCACTGACTTCCAGGAAATAACCAGAGGTCCTGACTCCTAGTGCCATGCTAGGAACCTATAGAAGACAGAACAAGTCAATTATCTTTTTGAATTAAAGTTAATTTGATTCACACATTGCCCCAGATAATGAGGTAAAAACAAAGGAAGGAATATTTGTTTTTCACATTCTGTGATTTATATTTATTTTCAGTGTTACAGCTGCTATGTCCCAAGTGCAGTAATTGAAAAACTGGCACACAATACTGAAAGCACCAAACTGTTCACAAGCTAATCTTTTATATTGGTTTTGGTGCCTTTGGTCTCAGTCTAACTTTATTTTCTCGGTTTCTCTACTTGTTAGACACAATTGCACATAAATGTCTTATAAGAACATTAAAGTTCTCTGGGAAAACTATTCTTGAGGCTACTCTGAAACTTAAAAGTGGAACAGATATATGCATTTATCAAGGGTTTCAAGCCCTTGTAGAAGGGAAAAAAGGAATACAAACTTAAATACTTTTCTGGGAGCTCTGATAAAAATATCATCTCAAATTTACAAAACAGAAAGAGTGCTGTGGCTCTCAGAGAGTTCGCAGTTTGAAAGTTGGATTTTTAAATCCATCCTGAAATCCCCTGGAGCGAGAGACGCGCCTGGGCATTCCTCAGCCCAGAACAGATCCTTTCCCTGCCCCTGGCCGTCCACAGCTCCTGCTCATAATCCTTTGCAAGTTAGTTCACTCTCGTACAGCGGCCTCTTCTAATGCCAAGCAGGGAAGGTCATGATAGCAAGGAAATTCCTAAGGGCTGGACCAGAGATCAAGGAGCGGAATCTTTCTCTCTTATTGGGCCCCGAGCTTCACATTTTCTCGTGCGACGCCGTGGCATGTTGCACGCCTTTGTCATCCACAGCCAGGAATGCTCGTTTCTTCGATAACACTGGACACAGGTCTTCTAAACACGGAGGTCGCTCGCAGCAGCACTTAAACTTTGTCATATCTCTCTCACGACAAATACTGACAGAGCTGAACATATTTTCACTGGGTTTGGCTCTATGACTTCTACTTGCCTCTTCCCGCAACCTGAGTTACGATAAGTAGCTCTTGTGTGTGATTCCATGGTATCCAGTCCCAGCAGGAGCACAGAATTGCATCTGTTGTCTTTCCTCCGCTGGTGACACTTTCCCAGGGTTGGAACCTGGTCTCCATGGAGACGATCCAGGCACCATCTACTGTAGCAGGCACATTTTCTTTTCTTTTCTTTCTTCAGTACTGGTGATCAAACTCAGGTCCTTTAGGCTTGCAAAACAGGCACATTTTCAGAACCAGATATCATTGCCTACATGTGTAGCATCCATCAGCAGTGGAAATGGGTTATGATGCCAATATGGTGCACGGGTCAGCTTCCTGCAGCCCATGATTTAAAGGAGAGGTTTAGTCTGGCTCCCAGGTGCAGGCAATTTAGACCATAGTACCCTGGCCCCAAGGCAGAAATGTCTCAGTGGAAAGCCATGGTAGAGCAAGGAGACTTAGTTCACAGTGGTGTGGAGCAGAGGAGCACAGCCAGAGAGGAAGGGGTCTGCAGGACCCACCGAAACACACCCAGGACCCTGAGCTGCTCCCAAGGGCTGCTCCCGAGAAGAGCAAGCTCGCAACTCAGCTTGGCTGTCACAAATGATATTTCCAAGTAGGCAAAAAATATTGTAAGGGTAATTAACCTCGTATTCATTTGACATTCTCTGGGCCACACATCACTATGAAAAGAACTAACAATTCCATGGGGTGTGTGTGGGGGGGTCACCGATTTTCATTAAGGTAGGAAAAGCAGGTCTTCAGCCTGCTCAGCATTGCAGAGAACCCTGTGGAAGAATCTCACCACACAGAGTCTAGCTTATCTCTCGAATATTCCACAGAGACAATTTTGCGTAGTAATTTCCATTACAGAGGACAACCAAGGACTAAGAGCCTCACTGACCTATCAGCAATCACAGTGTAAACATCCTAGATGGAGCAACTCACATGCAAAGCTGATTTCTGCCCTCCAGCCCAAGGCTTATGGGTCTTGATACTAAGAAAAGAAAAGAAGGGAAAAATGATGCCTTAGATCTGTCTACCAGGGATGCTGAAATAAGAAAGAGCGGTGGTTTTTATGGCTCAGAGAATTCAATAATGGAAGGACAGTATGCATGATGTTGGGTTCATAATGCAACTTTAAAAGATACCTATCAGACGTCCCGTCCTCTTCCTCTTCCTCTTCCTCCTCCTCTTCTTCTTCTCCTTCTCCTTCTCCTCCTCCTTCTCCTTCCTCCTCCTCTTCTTCTTCTTTTTAATTTTTCAGCCTGTTGATTATATCCTTGTGTGGCTATGAATTTAGTGGGCAGTGTGGTTTCAGAGCCCTTTCTGCTCCTGTCCCAGCCCATGCTCCTCTTACTTCCTGAGGCCCCACTGGATACCGGGGCCCCAGGGAGCCTACATTTCCTGGACCCCATGGAGAGCCATCTAATTGCTCTGTGGTTAAGGAGCTGCCCATCTGGCCTGAGATACAAAGTGAGTTTCACTTTGCCACAGCACTGACCCCTGGGAGGAATTCATTTCCTGATAAAATTAAGGCCTTGCTTCTTCCTGGGGTTTTGAAGAATCGCTGAGGTAAACCCAAGTTCCCCTCAGAGACGAGCTTGAGCTTCTAACATCACTGCAGCGAGGCCGGATTTCCTATGTTCGTTTGAGGAGCCCTTCCACAAGTGAGATTCACGGGTCTGGAAAAGCCCACTTTGCTTACTTCCGTACTTTTCCGGAAGCCCATCGTCTGTTCTTCAAATTGAAAGCGCGCTTTCCTTGAGTGAGGGGAGGCTGGGCTGGAGCAGCAGACTCACCCAGAAAGATGTACACAGGCTCTCGACTTAGCTAGTTTTCTTATCATGAATTGTATATTGATTTATAGTTTAATGAAACTGTGGCCTGTCTACAAAATGTAAGTTTCTCAGGGACAACATGCTCATCTGTATTTAATGCGTGTATCAGAAGGTTAAATCTGGCATGAAAGACACTCGAGTTTACCTCACTTCTTTGGTTCATTGTTTTATGGGAGTGAACAGGAGCACAAATCTAATTTTACCCAGGAAATTGCTAAAAGAATTGATGTAATAGAATGGATATAATAGAACAAGGTATTTAAAATTTGCATGCTCAGGTGGGTAACAAGCACCTGGGAATTATCTCTGGCCACTGAAAAAGTCACATTTGCTAAAAAATACTACTGTTTTTTGAAAGCCACGAGTCAGGCTATTAATTTTGCCTTTCTTCAATTTGACTTTTTACTATTAAGGTGACTTTATTCCAGCATGTTTTATTGGGGATGTTCCAAGGGAAGTGTATGTATGGGTACATGCATTTGAATACATGTGAAATTTGAGAGAGAGAGAGAGAGAGAGAGAGAGAGAGGACGGAAGGAATGGTGCTAGAAATCAGGGCCTGAGAAATGGGGGCTGCCTGTCACACTGGATATTCCAATACCAGGAATCTGTAGGCAGAAAGAAATGAGTGGATATACAATTTAATCCCAGCTGTGCACATATATGTGTGCCTGCCTGTGTTTATTTGGAGGGAAGGACCTAGAAATACATCATTTTATCATAACATCAACTCGAAAGGTAGAGCATCGCCATCCTTGGAGTTCCCCTCTGCATTTTAAAATCCATTTTTAAGAAGGAGGGCAGGAGCAGAAAGAGATTTCCAAATTGGACACGATGCTGCGGGGTTCAGATGTTGGTGACCATGGTTTCACAGATGCAGCTTGAGAGTTCAAGAAGTCTGGGCAGGTCCCGGGAAGCCAGGGCAGGGCCTCAAGTGCAGCCCATTACTGTGATGGCTTCCAGCCGGAGCAGCAGGCCGCAAGGTGGCCAGTGACCCTCTGCAGTGGGGACAGCAGGGTGGACGCAGGGAAAGATCACAGTGAGCCGCAGCTCTGAAGGAGCAGACCCTGTGGGCCCAGGAAGAGCCTCATTCTGTGAACTGTACGAACCAACAGGCAAAAGTCAAGGGCAGGGTGAGAGCATTATGGACAATTCCTCCATGACAGAGAGCGGTCAGATGATATGGTCGATGTTTGAATTAAAAACTTAGTAGAGTAGAATACACCAGTGAGGGGAAATATTAAAGGAAATGTATCTTGTACTGTAATACTTCTTTACATTTGAACGCTCACTACATTTTTTAAAATCACAACTCGTCAATCCACAGCACACAGCAATTTTTGTCAAACGAAAACCTGACACTGTGTCCTCATCCACCTTACTCGTGGGATCGTTTGACTTCTGGTTCTTCCCCAAAGTCAACACCACCGCAGAAGGGGAATGTTGGATGG